TAACACAGGGATTTCTGCCATGCCCCACAGTACCAATAAAGACTGCTTGATGGCAATTATGACTGAGAATCCTCCAACAACAACAACAAGAAGTATGGCAAGGGCCCCTCTAAACTTACAGAAAATTCTTTAGAGAACAACAAAGATTTAGGAAACAATGTCAGTAAAGAACCTAACATTAAGAGCGAGGGGGTTGGGAGATATGGGGCTAGGAGTGGAGGGAGGGGATCTCTCAGGCAGTTCTGAATGGCTTGACTGTTAGATATTTAAACAACTAAATTAACTAGATGCTATTCCAAGAATTAAAGAAGTATGTGGTGGCAATTTAGTATTTATTTTCAAAATCTTAAGTAAAATTAGAGAACAAATATGTTTTTAAAGAACAATCTCTATTAGAGAAATTTTTCATTTGTCATGGCTTAAAACATCAAACTTCAAAGCCAAAAAATCTAGATAGATAGCCTTTTTAGGCTCCTCAGCACTTAGAGACAATGAATAAATACATGTCTAAGTAGTCTCAAGTGAAGAAATAAAAGAAAATATATTAGAGTGCTCTCAAAGTGTTCCATGGGAAAAAGAAAAAGGTAATAGATTATTCATTCAAAACCCATCGATATAAAATTTTACGTGTAAAGTGAAGTTCAGGAGAATGAAATAGCAATGTTTAATTTCTGCTTTTTGGATGAATTCCAATTTTACAAGTCAGGACAGTGTATCAAAAGGAGCATGAACTGGCTGAAAAAGGTGAAGTAATTAAGAAAAGGAAAACTCATGGACACAGACAACAGTATGGTGATTACCAGAGGGAAAGGGGGGTGGAGGTGTTATCGCAATTAGCTAGTTAATATTAATAAAGGAAAGAAAGCAAAGGGAAGTCAGACATTGTAAGCATGGTCACCTGGGGAGCTTCACCAAGAAGCTACAGCTTCACAGAGCATTGTTCCTCCAAGGGGGTTAACAGCCCTCCCTTCCCCCATACGGCACTGGACAGTTGTGGGGAAGAGGGGGTGCAGGAGAGGTGTTTGCCTGTCAGTCTAGCCTGGGAAACAATGGATTGGCTGGGGGAGGGACTCCATCACAAACATGCGAAATCTTGCAAAGTTAATTGGTTAGTTTGAAAAAGCTCCTGGTTAAAATCCCCAGAGTTCTCTCTGTCTTCTTTGCTCTAGCTCTCTCTTGCTCTGCTATCTGCACTCACCCATGTGCTCGTCTGTTCTCTCTCTAGAGCCATATGGCCTTAAGCAGCAGTAGGGCTCATGGCTGTGCAGACCCCACAGGCAATGGACTGCAGCTGAGAACACAAGCTAAGCTAGCCAGATGCTGGACTGGACTGGACTTTAATATGGAGCAGAAATTCTGGGCAGTGGTCTTAATTTTTGGCTCTGCCAAAGACAAGATTGGACTTCTTCCATGGCGAGATGAACAGAGATGGGACCTTGGAGAGGAACCCCCTTATTTTACATCATCAATAAAGCTTTCCACAAAACCCTGTCCCCCTGTGGGGGCTTCAGGAAATTCATTTCCTCGCAGGACCCCAAGAACTCCACTTCTACCAATAACAGGAGGAAGTAGAAGAGGGTAAAAGGTGGATAAATGGTGATGGAAGGAGACTTGACTTGGGGTGGTAAACACAGAATACAATATACAGATGATGCATTATAGAATTGTACACCTGAAACCTATATAATTTTATTAACCAATGTCACCCCAATAAATACAATAAAAAAGTTTTTTAAAAAGTAGCATGGACTTTGGAATCTGTCAGAGCTGGTTTCAATTCAGGTTCAGCCGCCAACTAGTGCATGACTTTGGGCAGTTCTATAAGTCTCAGTTTCTTCATCTAGAAAAGAGACTAATCAAATCTTCCTCCAAGAATTTTGGTGAAAAATAGAAATAATGGATGTTGTAGGCACTCAGTAAATGATAGCTATTATTTTTCTCTTCCCCATTACACATCACAAAAGAAGTGAAATAACAACAATTATATAACATCAGTGCTACTTTACATGGCAGGTGGATAGCCCACAGGAAGGGGATAGCCTCAATTTTACATGTAGGCTACTCTTTCTCAAAAATGCCATGAGCCCAGCCAGTGTGGCTCAGTTGGTTGGAGTGCCATGCCATGCACCGGAAGTCACTGGTTCAATTCCCAGTCAAGGCACATGCCCAGGCTTGGGGCTCAATCCCCAGTAGGGGGTGTGCAGAAGGCAGCCAATCGATATCTCTCATCGATGTTTTTCTCTCCCCCTCTCCTTTCCTCTCTCTGAAATCAATAAAAACATATATTTTTTAAATTCCATGACATTCCAAAGGCAGAGTACTATGGTAGGGATGAATGACCAAGGAGGGGAAAAAAACCTTCACACTAGACAGACTATGAGAAACAGGAAACAAGCTCTGCTACTTACTAGCCATGTATTCTTGAGCAAATCCCCTTGCCTCTCAAAGCCTCAGTGTCCTTTTCCACAAATTGAGAACAAACTCTTCACAGGTTGTAAAGATCAAATGTATGTGAAAGGGCCTGGGCAACTATAAATGGTGATGAAAAAAATAAAATTAAATTAAATTAAAATTTTAAAATAAAAAAAAGCACTATGCAAATAAAAGCTACTTTTTTCTTTTCTTTTCTTTTCTTTTCTTTTCTTTTCTTTTCTTTTTTTTTTTTTTTTTTTTTTTTTTTCTTT